TTTGAAAATGTTGGGTGAATGTGGTAAAGTAACTTCTGAAACTTTTCTTCATAAAGCACTTGTTGCATATCAATGTTGCTGTATATTCCTGTTTATTTATTTAGACTTTGTGTGTTTGTTTATACACAGGAAAACCATCACGTGTTGAACATTTATCTACAAAGAACAGTAGTAGTAAGTAGTAGTAGTAGTAATCTTTATTTATATACCGCCTTTTCACTGCACATCAGAGTCTCAAAGCGGTTTACAATTGTTATTTTTGGGAGCGGGGGCCAGTACAGGAGGCACATGTCAGACCTATTGCACATATTTTTAGTGGTAGGGGAAACCGGAGCACCCGGAGGAAACCTACGCAGACACGGGGAGAACATGCAAACTCGACTCAGAAAGGCCCTGGTCCAACCGGGTCTCAAACCCAGGACCTTCTTGCTGAGAGGCGAGAGTGCCGCCCAGTATCATTGTTGGTAGCATTACACAGTATTTGGGTGCAGTTAGTTCCCTGTGTACTTAGCCACTACTCTTGCAGTCTCCACTGAGTTGTCTCCAAAAAAATAACTAAGGAAAGAAAACCGTTAGGCTCCTTATTTCTTCAGCTGCAAAAAGTTACATGCACCAGATGTGTCTTTTGCTTGAAAAAATCTTAAGTTTTTATTTTTAGATTAAAAACCTTTTGAAAAGGATTGTTATTTATATAGCGCACTTTACAGACCAAGGTCTTCCAAAGCACTTTATAATTGTTCAGAGTTCAGATGTTGTTCCAATCATTCCACACTCGGTGATGACGAAGCAAGTGCAGCAAAGCCCCCAATCAACACCATCCACTCTCTCATTTTACATTCATATCTACCTATACATTACTTTACGTCCATTTCAAATTCAAAATCTGATGGAACAATTTATCTGTCTTTTATTTAATGAATATTTTAAAGGCGAATATGTCGTTTTGAATGTTAACTGAATTTTTAGAGACTTCATGGCCCTGGATGTTTTCAGGCGCCTGACCATGAAGAGCCTTGAATGTCAGCACCAGAATTTTAAATAGATTCTATGTGAGACAGGGAGCCAGTGTAAGGACTTCAAGATTGGAGACCCGCACCTGTCAAAAGCCTTGTTAAAGAACTTTGGACTACTTGCAAACGAGCCAGATAGTTTTTTACTAAGACATGTATTGTTGTAACATTACAAACATGTTAAATGATTTTTATTAAATAGGCTTTGCATTTTATTTAACATGGGATTATTTTTGTATTAAGAATTACTAGTACCAACTAATTACAAAAATACGTTTCTTCCCCATTTCTGACACTGGCCCTAGATGGATGACACACTTAGCATTTGCCTATATACGGTCTATGCCGCAGGCCGGGTCTGCATGTAAGCAGGCTGTTACAATAGTCCAGTCGCAGGGAAAGAAAAGCATGGACACCAGATGTTGTGCTCAGTAGTTTTATGCTTTTAAGACAAAAGTATTCCCCATAAATTAGTGTTGGCCTTTTCTCAGTCTTGACAGTCTTCACAGTGTTTGCAGCTCCCTCTGGTGGCAGCATGGGGAGTAACACGTGGAAAGCTTTTTTTACCTTTCATACTTTAGATATTATTTGACTCTTTATCAATCTTTTTAATTCCTCACTTTTTGTGGGTATTGTTTTTTTTTTATATCTGCATTTTCATGTCACGTCCTGTCTGCATCTGTTTACAGGCTGCACAAGCATGAAGACTGATGAGGATCCCACGTGTGTGTGTGTGTGTGTGTGTGTGTGTGTGTGTGTGTGTGTGTGTGTGTGTGTCTGATTTGTCACTACTACCTCATGACTGCGCACATGGTTAGAAACAGGAGACCAGTCTGTTGCCGGTCCAAACAGTCTATGGTCAGAATCCAACTTTTACAATGATACTATCCTCTGTACCTGAACGTGATAATGGATTTCTGTGTAGTGTATGTTCAAAGATACAAAGGCAGCATTGAAATGGTCTTTTATTTACTTTTATAAAACAATGTTGAACATTCTTGTGATTCTTATTCCACAATTCCTTCAAAATAATAAAATAAATGTTACTTGCCTAATCGTCAAGTTTTCTATAAAATTGTAATTACTACTATTAATACTGCTGCTACTACTACTGGTACTGCCATTACTGCTAATACTATTCTACCACTTCTAGTAGTACTGCAACTATAACTACTTCTACTACTGCTACTTTCCCTTGTTTTTTCATGGATACAGTGGTGGAAAAATCAGCTCTTCTCAGTGAAGTAACTGTGTTCATACTGTTCATGTTTTTACTACTTTTGACACTTTTAACTTATTACTGAGTGTATGTTAGACTGTTTAACCAAGAAGCTAAAAATGTGCAGTACCTCTCATAACACACTATGTAAAAATTCTACTTCGAAGTGATAGAACCCAATTGAATTATTCATTTGAACAAATATATCCACACATCTGCATCCATGATTTATACAAAGACCACAAAAAAAATATACAATAAAAAAAACTGTCCACACAATCCCTGGTATTTCATTCAGGTAAAACTTTCTGATGTTGAGAACAAAACTTATTTCCTCCTAATATTTTGACATTTCTCATTCTGAAAACACTGATTGCTGACATGCTGGAGCCTAATTCCTTATATGGGCAGTTGTTAGCTTTGTTCCGTAACTTGAGCAGATGCGTTGCAGAGACTGTTCTAAGGCAAGTTGGACTTTACTCCACAAATGAAGGCATCTGATTGGTCAAACCTTATATGGCTCATATGCCAAGACAATATCACAATATAAACACCAGGATCACAGCGCGCTAAACCACAGATTTAAGCCCAAATTGTGACACAAACACTTACTGAGCTTGAGGTTTACCTTTGTATGTTAGTTAACAGAAGCCAGAGTGAGTTGGAGCCAAATTTCACCATGAGCACTTCCATATTGGGCTAGCGCAGGTTTTAGTTCCAACCTAAGCAGGAGCACACCAGACTCTACCCAATTCCTCAGGTGGATCCAGTGTTAACCTGAACATTTGAAGAATCAGGAGTCTGCTGTGCTCCGGCTCAGGTCAGAACTAAAAACATGCAGTCACACCGGCTCTTTCTGGAACCGGTTTAACATCTGTATACAGGTCTCTCTGGTCTCTCTAGTCTCTCTCTGGTCTCTCTGGTCTCTCTCTGGTCTCTCTCTGGTCTCTCTCTCTAGTCTCTCTCTCTCCTCTCTCTCTCTCTGGTCTCTCTCTGGTCTCTCTCTCTGGTCTCTCTCTGGTCTCTCTCTCTGGTCTCTCTCTCTGGTCTCTCTCTCTGGTCTCTCTCTGGTCTCTCTCTGGTCTCTCTCTGGTCTCTCTCTGGTCTCTCTCTGGTCTCTCTCTGGTCTCTCTCTCTGGTCTCTCTCTCTGGTCTCTCTCTGGTCTCTCTCTGGTCTCTCTCTGGTCTCTCTCTCTGGTCTCTCTCTGGTCTCTCTCTGGTCTCTCTCTCTGGTCTCTCTCTCTGGTCTCTCTCTGGTCTCTCTCTCTGGTCTCTCTCTGGTCTCTCTCTGGTCTCTCTGGTCTCTGGTCTCTCTCTGGTCTCTCTCTGGTCTCTCTCTCTGGTCTCTCTCTGGTCTCTCTCTGGTCTCTCTCTCTGGTCTCTCTCTCTGGTCTCTCTCTGGTCTCTCTCTGGTCTCTCTCTGGTCTCTCTCTCTGGTCTCTCTCTCTGGTCTCTCTCTGGTCTCTCTCTGGTCTCTCTCTCTGGTCCTCTCTGGTCTCTCTCTGGTCTCTCTCTGGTCTCTCTCTGGTCTCTCTCTCTGGTCTCTCTCTGGTCTCTCTCTCTGGTCTCTCTCTCTGGTCTCTCTCTGGTCTCTCTCTCTGGTCTCTCTCTGGGCTCTCTCTGGTCTCTCTCTCTGGTCTCTCTCTGGTCTCTCTCTGGTCTCTCTCTCTGGTCTCTCTCTGGTCTCTCTCTGGTCTCTCTCTCTAGTCTCTCTCTGGTCTCTCTCTCTGGTCTCTCTCTGGTCTCTCTCTCTGGTCTCTCTCTGGTCTCTCTCTGGTCTCTCTCTGGTCTCTCTCTGGTCTCTCTCTCTGGTCTCTCTCTCTGGTCTCTCTCTCTGGTCTCTCTCTGGTCTCTCTCTGGTCTCTCTCTCTGGTCTCTCTCTGGTCTCTCTCTCTGGTCTCTCTCTGGTCTCTCTCTGGTCTCTCTCTGGTCTCTCTCTGGTCTCTCTCTGGTCTCTCTCTGGTCTCTCTCTCTGGTCTCTCTCTGGTCTCTCTCTCTGGTCTCTCTCTGGTCTCTCTCTGGTCTCTCTCTGGTCTCTCTCTGGCCTCTCTCTCTGGTCTCTCTGGTCTCTCTCTGGTCTCTCTCTGGTCTCTCTCTGGTCTCTCTCTGGTCTCTCTCTGGTCTCTCTCTGGTCTCTCTCTGGCTCTCTCTCTGGCCTCTCTCTGGCTCTCTCTCTGGTCTCTCTCTCTGGTCTCTCTCTGGTCTCTCTCTGGTCTCTCTCTGGTCTCTCTCTGGTCTCTCTCTGGTCTCTCTCTCTGGTCTCTCTCTGGTCTCTCTCTGGTCTCTCTCTGGTCTCTCTCTGGTCTCTCTCTGGTCTCTCTCTCTGGTCTCTCTCTGGTCTCTCTCTCTGGTCTCTCTCTGGTCTCTCTCTGGTCTCTCTCTGGCTCTCTCTCTGGTCTCTCTCTGGTCTCTCTCTCTGGTCTCTCTCTGGTCTCTCTCTGGTCTCTCTCTGGTCTCTCTCTGGTCTCTCTCTGGCCTCTCTCTGGCCTCTCTCTGGCCTCTCTCTGGTCTCTCTCTCTGGTCTCTCTGGTCTTTCACATCTGTATACAGGCTATGATTGATCCACCTGACCCCACACAGAAAGTTTTACTTGGCTAAAATAAAAGTTGACAGCTGTATGAACTCATCAAAGTGAATAACTAAGATAGGAGGAGTTGGTCCATTTTGAGGCAGTAAAAGTCCATTCGAATAAAAGTGACTCGACCCCAAGTTCCTTCAAACTTAGAGAAAGCAGCTGCATGTTCTGAGCTCCTCTCTGGGTCGGCCTAACT